TCTGAACACACAGATAGAGGAAGAAGTAATGGCTCACATGTTTGTACAGTTTTTACAGTGCAATAGAAGCCTATCTTGTGTAAATTTCAACAATACATGTATAAACGTATCTCAGGAAAATCTGAATTTAATGGTGCAATTTACAGATATTTTTGCTAAGAGGTATGTAAATGAATAGTGAACAGTTCAAGTTATAATAATAATGAGTAAATGGTTCTTGCTCTTAAAGCTTGGTAAGGGAAATTTGGGAAGTATTAAATCTAAATCCTGACCATGTCCTGTTTGCTCAATAGGTAAAATATTTTGTTATATCTGGGATTTGTATTTTATTATCTCTGGTATGATATAACTTTAATATATTCTTTATGATTTGGTTTAAAATGATAAGTTACAGAACATTAATCCATCACCACTGGTACAGACAGGAGATGTATGAGCATTTACATGCATTTAAATTTGTTAATACTTTTTTAAGAATCAACGAACGCTGGCAGTGGAACCTCCTGCGGGTATATGACTTAAATACTGGTAAAGTTATGCTTGATCCAAGTAAAAGTAGAGAAATTAAATACAGAAAACAGCAGGAAATAAGTCAGTAAAATACCTAAGTCAGGAGTCCTTTATAGGTACCTGCTTACCATAATTTGACAGACAATTCAAGTGTTATAAAACATTAACTTGAAACCAAACCTCACAAATAAGCACATACATGTAGAATCCTACATGTATTTTGTCCCTCTACATATAATATAAATTTTCTGCATTCTATGTTGTTATATCTGTAGGATATAAAAGTTGTTGTCAACGTTTCAGCAATATACAGTCAATAACAACACCTACTGTATGTAGCTGGTGGCGTTGGGATGTTTGTAAGGTACTGGTAGATGCACCAAAACTTGCTTATCTAAAAATAGAAGGCCCAGGAAATATTGGTAAATTTATAAACTTTGTTTAGTTAAGATATTCAGTATTCATATTTTATAAGTTAATAATAATCATTGGGTTAGATTGGTTTTTGGCACAAATCTCACCAAGGATTTTGAATTCACTCATTATAGCTACTTTACAGAAGGTTTATGGTTCTTTACATTGTGCCTTTATGTGCCTGAAACAATGATCCTGTGCCTGAAATGTTTTGAAGGTCTACCATCCGTAAAGCCTGGAGAATCATTGAAACTGTATTTGGCTATTTAAAATTTTAAACATAAGTTATGCCTAAATTGTATATCTAAAATATATTTTTTTCCCACAGCTTTTAAAAAATATGTATAGCCTATCAATGTATGTAAGTATATGATTTTTAGTCCCCTACCGGTTTAACCGGAGGGGACTTTAGGTTTACCCTCCGTCCGTCTGTCCGTCTGTCTGTCTGTCCGTCTGTCTGTCCGTCTGTCTGTCTGTCAGTCCGTCAGTCCGTCCGTCCACAAAACTGGATCCCGCGATAACGCAAAAAGTACTGAAAATATTTTTATGAAACTTGATATATGGATAGATGGCAGTATGGAGATTATGCACGTCTTTTTTTTTTCTTCCTATGTTGAAAATTCTGGTTGCTATGGCAACAAATAGTCTGAAAATATGGCAAATTTAACACATAAACTGGATCCAGTGATAACTCAAAAAGTACTGAAAATATTTTTATGAAACTTGAAATATGGGTAGATGGCAGTCTGGAGATTATGCACATATTTTTCTTTTCTTCCTATGTTGAAAATTCTTGTTGCTATGGCAACAAATAGCCTGAATTTCAAGATTACTGATTTAAATTTTTCAGCTTTTTCACTATATATGTTCTTTATTTCTTAAGGTGTTTACTTCAAACTTTAAATATAAGTTTCTGGTCATCAACCACATCATATGTGACAAGGTTTTATAACTCTAAGCACAAAAAATATCAGTATTACCTCCCTTGAACTTAGATTTTTTAGGGGAAAAAATGTTGTCTTTTTTTAAATAACTTCTTTTATTTCCTAATGTATCTACTTCAAACTTCATATATATGTTTCTTATTATCACTCGACATTTTTGAGAAGGTTAAATACTCTAGCAAGACTATTTCCAGAATTATGTCCCCCTTGAACTTAGATTTTTTTCGAGAAACTGGTATTTTCAACTCCAACTTCTTCATTCCTTATAGGATTTACTTTAAAAATCCCACATCGTAATAATATGACAAGGTTGTATAAACATAATTTCCTTACTAAGCATGGAAACTTAACACATTACTGTGATATAGACAAACTTATTTTATTATGTTTTGTGGTTGATATTTTCAAATACAGACTTCATCCTCAAATTTATTATAAATGGCAATACACAGGAGTGTATGACAATTAAAGAACTTTTTGAGGGACCGGTAGGGGACTACTGTATTGCCCGCAATACTATCAAATGCTTGTTGTTCATAGATTATGATAACCTGAAGGCTGTCAGTATAAAGTTATATGTGACATACATGTATGTTACAAGTTCAGCACACCCAAAGCGGTTAAGTAAAATATAATTTAATGTCTTTTGTCTCTGTAAAATGCTAGAAAAGATAAAATTAAAAGATAAAAAAGCTCAAAAAAGAGCGACGTAGTAGTGATTGTAGCTGTTTAAGATACAGTAGAACTTTAGTAGGTCGAATTTGAAAGGTCTTTCATAAAAAATTCCTGACACCAATACTTCAACTCATGTATTAGCCTCAATTCAATAAGAAATTTGGAGTGGTCAACGTTAACAAGAGACTTACAAAAGAGGTAAAAAAAGTGTGATAACTAAACCAGCCTATATTTGATATATTCCATGGAATATCAAGAGATTTTGGGCCTTGGAAGATCCAAAACGAAACTAATTTGTGATATTAATTTTCAAATAAAGCACCAGCAATTAGAATAATTACAATTAAAGCATATTCTCAGTCATCAGAAAGCAAAGCATGTTAGAACAAACTCCAAGTGTAATTAATACTTCCATCAAAAGACCTGTTTCTGGTAATATGCTCTTGAATTAACGCAGGCCACTTAAAAACTTCAACATTGTTTTCAGCAAATATACAAGACTTTGTTAGAATTGTAAACAACTGCAAGCACCTAAAGACATTGTCTATACAGGAAATAGATCTAGGTAAGTCATTAGTTTTCTTTTATCTGTATCATAGCTGAGAAATCTTATACCAGTTGCAATACAATAGGGTTATTATGGGAGAACCATGATCTGGGACTTCTATTTGACTTGACTGGACAAATAGATTAGGATCTCATGAGACGCGGTAGTGCCAAGTTACCACGCCTCGAGAGTGATATGTTCTTGTAAACTACATGAGAGGCAAATACAAGTGTTTGATATACAGGTATAAGATAAAGGCATCTTTTCATTTTATGACCATAACTCATAGATAAAGTTGATACATAGCTGTGATGTTTGAAAATCTTTATGAAAATATATTTATGTTGACCAGCAAAGAAACTTTTCTAATAATAAGATATTTTGTAATAAATGTTTCTAAAAAGTCATTTAGGCATCTTTTTTGGAAATTTTTCCAGTGAAAAGAAGTGCCCTTAGCTCTGCATCAATTTTTATCTTACAGTTGAAGTGGGCAAAGATTTGCTGACGGTGATATTGACATCAGAGAATTCTTGTGTGAACAATCTTGACCTTAGGTAAGGTATATTTGTCCTGTGATGAGAAATCCTTGTTTTGTTTAAAAGTAGAGTAATCATGATGGAATTCTTGTTTCCAAGAAAGCTGCCATTTCTAAGTGTACATCAGTTAGAAATATTTATGCCCCAAGATGTCATGTTATTGTTTGCTATTGTATGAGCAGTAATTCCAAACTACTCTGTATGGAGAAAATAATATAACTTGTAACGATTATGAGCACGAAATGTTTGTTCTTACACTTTTCTTGTCAAAATTAGACACAACCTCTAGTTTATTACTGTCAAGTATATCTTTTTACCAATTCATACATATTTACTACTTACTTGTATATTGATTTTCAAATGCGTCAATAGTATAGTAATTTAATTTAATTTAATCGATTACAATTTTTTGAGTAATCAGTAATCATAATTTTTTTCCTGTAATTTAATCATAATTTAATCAATTACATGACCAATTAATCAGTAATCACAATGAATGCATGTTTGATTAAAATACATGTTAAGCTAAAAAAAATTGCTGAACAAACGTACATATAAAGGTTTACAAGAAACATGGCAATGCCATGAAACCAGGTTTTCAATTATCACCATTGTAGATAAATATGTTGTATTTGAAATACAAATACAGGCAACAAACAATGTAACTATGTGCAATGTAAAACATGAATAATGTAGGAGGAATTGCCACAGAAGAAGTGTCCACTATACATTCTGTATAAGGAAAAAAAACAAAGGCCATAATTAGGTCAAAAATTATCCAATCACAAAACTCCGAAAATGTGCGCCAGTGCACTTGATGACAAAGCGTCTGTGAAAGTTTGGTCAAAATCTGTTGAGAAATGTAGGACGAGTTCAGCACAGAAGAAATTGTTCACTATATATTGATAATTCTGTATAAGGAAAAAAAACAAAGGACCATAATTAGGTCAAATATTATCCAATCACAAAACCCAGACAATATGTGCCAGGGCACTTGATGACTAAGCTTCTGAGAAAGTTTGGTCAAAATCTGTTGAGAAATGTAGGAGTTGCGCACGAAAGAAATTGTTCACTATATATTCTATATAAGGAAAAAAAAAGGGCCATAATTAGGTCAAATATTATCCAATCACAAAACCCCGACAATATGCCCCAGGGCACTTGATGACAAAGCTTCTGTGAAAGTTTGGTCAAAATCCGTTGAGAAAATTGTAGGAGGAGTTCAGCACAGAAGAAATTGTTCACTATATTCTATATAAGAAAAAAAAACAAAGGGCCATAATTAGGTCAAATATAATCTAATCGCAAAACCCCGACAATATGCCCCAGGGCACTTGATGACAAAGCTTCTGTGAAAGTTTGGTCAAAATCTGTTGAGAAATGTAGGAGGAGTTGCGCACAGAAGAAATTGTTCACTATATATTCTATATAAGAAAAAAAAAAACAAAGGGCCATAATTAGGTCAAATATTATCCATTCACAAAACCCTGACAGTATGCCCCAGGGCACTTGATGACAAAGCTTCTGTGAAAGTTTGGTCAAAATCCGTTGAGAAATGTAGGAGTTGCGCATGAAAGAAATTGTTCACTATATATTCTATATAAGGAAAAAAAACAAAGGGCCATAATTAGGTCAAATATTATCCAATCACAAAACCCCGACAATATGCGCCAGGGCACTTGATAAGAAAGCTTCTGTGAAAGTTTGGTCAAAATCTGTTGAGAAATGTAGAAGGAGTTGCGCACAGAAGAAATTGTTTACGCCCGCCCGCCGACATACCTCAATCTAATAACCAGTTTTTTCCTTCACACATGAAGGGGATTATGTCCATCCATGAAGGGGATTATGTCCGGAAATACAAAAATACATGAAGGGGATTTTGTCCGAACGGGATTATGTCCATACACCGGCCTGGATAGGTATATTAATAGTATCACTTATTGAGAAGAATTAACAGGTTCAGTAAAGAGCAAGTATAAGCTGCAATTACTGACAAAAGTGGCCTGACAAAAGTGAGATATGTTTATATTTTCTGTTACATTTTGGTATTGTTAAGTCCATGTAGAAGCAAAAAGTATTCAGCATTGCTGGAAAAATCTTTACTCCTACGAGGTGCCTCCTGAAACCAAATACATTTGAAAAACTAATGAACATTAAATGTAATATGAGAATATAGCTTAGTAAATAGGAGGCAACACATGTACATATGTAGACTGAGTTAATTACTGTAAAACTAAGTTGTTTTTTTTTTGTACATTTTTTGTATTGAAATGTTCAATAAAACGATAGTGTTGAACCATTTCATTTCTTACCTTATGTACATGTAATCAGTAATCATAAATGTAATCTTATTACTACTGTCAGTAATCAGTAATTTAATCAATAACAATGTCAAAATGGAGTAATCAGTAATTTAATTTAATCAAGCATTTTGACAAATAATCATAATTTAATCGATTACAATTGTCAAGTAATCGCCCCATGTCTGGTCAATACTAATGAAAAATCAATTATTTGGTAACTTTAACCCACTATCCTCTCCTGTTAACTTTACATATTGTTGACGTGTCCTGCCTAGCTCTCATGTTGACTTTACATAATGTTGACTTGTCCTACCTTGCTCTTGTGTTGACTTTACATATTGTTAACTTGTCCTGCTTTGCTCTTGTGTTGACTTTACATATCTTTTACTTGTCCTGTCTAGCTCTCATGTTGACATTACATATTGTTGACTTGTCCTACCTTGCTCTCGTATTAACTTTACATATTGTTGACTTGTCCTGCTTTGCTCTTGTAATGACTACATATTGTTGACTTGTCCTGCCTTTCTCTTGTGTTGACTTGACATATTATTTACTTGTTCTGCCTTGCTCTTGTATTGACTTTACATCTTTTGACTTCTTTTGCCTTGCTCTCATGTTGACTTTACATATAATTGACTTGTCCTGCCTTTATATCATGTTTACTTTACATCTTTTGACTCGTCTTTTCTTTCTCTTGTGTTGACTTTACATATTGTTTTGACTTGTCCTACCTTGCTCTCTTATTGACTACATATTATTTACTTGTTATGCCTTGCTCTCATGTTGACTTTACATATTACTTATTTCTGGCCCACTTAGTGACTTTAAATTTTTGTCTTGATATCCCAAAAACTTAAAATGAACAGTTCTATAAATGGAACCTGGGTGCAGAGTCCATTAAAGAAGGTTAATGGCATCTAAAATATTTGGACCTCTGTGCCTGTTTTCATATGTTGAACATTATATATATCCACAATCCTCATGGGATTTCTGCATAATTGTTAAATAACTGTTATCATCAAATGGCCTCCCACACAACTGCGACTTTTGTGATTGAATATTATATATTGCACTTTGTATATTGCACTTTCTTATTATTTCAACTGGTGAGTAAAAGTGGAATTATCTACTGTATAGAAGTCCTTTGACATTTCTCAGTTTTAATTAATTATTAATGGCGGAAAACCTGTAATTATTAATGGTGGAAAACCTGTTTTATTAACAAATTCAGTCACTTGTTTTGATTTAATGAAAAGTACTTTTTTAGTTATTGATTTTCGTTTCGTCATTTTCATTGTTATATAACTTCATGAATACCTTAGCTCAATTACATGCTCGCCCATATGGCCTTTTTCCGATGGGGGAGGGTAAACAAACCCAAACACTTACAAGCTCAATTATCAGTAAGATGTACATGTAATTCATGGGAACATTGGTAGATTTTACCATGCAGTAATCAAGGACAACTGGTAATATCAAATTAGCACCCTTAATAATTTCAGCCTCAATTCAATTCAATACCGAAGGCTTTAAGATATAATTACATTGATAAATATTTCCTATTGCAGGTTCTGCAGTATTCAAGGAGACGATATTGTTACGGCTGCCGAAACCTCTTTAGAGACCCGCCATCGTACTCGTAAACTTCATATTCTTGATATGAGCATGAACAAAATAAACAGATTGCAGCAGACGACAATCAAAAGACTTTATAAATCATTGACAGATATTTTGATTGTTGATATACCAGATAGACCGCAGATGGAGTTTGTTGCACAAATGTGAAATATGTCTAAAATTGAAAAATAAAATATACTGTAAAAAACACAAATTGTTCTATTTAAATTACATTTGTAATTTTCTTATGCGGAAATTATGCGGAACTATGTTATTTTACAGTTAATCAAGCCAGGTGAGTTAATAACTTAATAAGTTTAAGTGACCTTGATTATTGAGGTCATTCTTTAGGTTGAAAATTAGCACTACACCACCGTTCATCTGTCCTTTTCCTGACTTTTCCACATTTTCTGTACTAGTAAACAACATCTCCTATATCACTTGATGGATGTTAACTAATTCACAGGAATGATCCTTAAATGTCTTTCTTCAAAAGTTACGGTAGATAAATGGTTCCAGTCTTATGCATAAGTATGTCACAGGCGCTAAAAAAAGACTTTTGTGTATAAATTCTTAATTTCAAAAACCACAATGCCCAGAGCATGGTCCTCTAAAATGTAAAATATATCATCTCCCTGTGGTCATAATTGACCCTGCCCTGATAGTAATTTACTTTATAAAGACTTATTTAAGAAAACAGTTTTCTTACCTGGAACTACAATGCCCAGAGTAATGGTTTCACGGTATATATGGTGCATATTGCACTGATTTCACAAAGCAGTATAATTAAGAACATTAAAACATGTATTTTTTTTATATGATGGCCTTAACTGGAAAAAAGCTACGTTTGTTGCAACCGTGAGAAAGTGAGAATTGCAGATTTAACGCGGCATCCTTCAGATTCATGCTTATTTTTGTAAAATCTTGAAAATATATTTAGAAGTAAAATATTGAGAAATAATCAAAAGGAATCAATTAACACAATAAAAACCCCACTCAAAAAGAAAAGAAGTTAAAAAGAAACTACTAAAGGGGGACAACTCTGCAGCCAATGTTACAGCAGTTTACTATACTATGTACGTACTGCAGATTTATCTCCCTTTGTGCCTTTAAAAAACGTAGCCAGCATCTAATTTTTGGTTCAAATAGAATAATACAACTAAACCCGTATTGTTTTCATATTTTAAATTATAGTAGATTTTGTTATCATACACACATTTACAATACTATAACAGAATACTCAGTTACAGGAACTTTTTAGCCGTCGGGTTAGCTGAATAGGAAGAACGTTGGACTGTGAATCGGGCGACCTTTCGTTGTGATTGATCATGAAATCCTTTCTACGATCATTCGCAGTGTACCTCTGCTCTGGCATGTACAGAAGTTTCAGTTTCTTGCCAAAGTGAAGGCAACTAGTACTGGTAAACTGCTTGACAGCCTGCCACGGAACATGAACTGTGCTCTGGTGAATTCAATATGGCATACTGTCGTGATCCGGAGTGAAAACTACCAACACCACCACCACCATGAACTATTTGGACGTTGCAAATAACATTTCATTTATTTGATGTAGATTGTGTACAGACTTATAATATTAATGCTGGCGGTACCTTCCTTAATTGAATGGTTATGAACGCTGACTTTAAACCACTTGCCTGTCACTGGTTCGACGCTCGAAAAGAGATTTTAAATACTCTCATTTGAGAACGCTACCCAGCTTGGTTATGGAAGGCGGTGATTATCATATGTCCATTGGTGATGAAGGGGTACCTGAGACTTTGAAATCAAACAAAAAGCAAAAACCGTATATGATCAATAAGTCTCGACAAGAAACCGACGCCGCTTGTCATATCAGTTTTCCGAGTTATCAGAATTATATAAAAGTTGCCTAATAAATGTATAAAATAACTTGAGCTATAGACAACACGTAAGTCTGCAAATGACCCTTTCAATAAATGTATTATAATAGTTATTAGAATAACTGCAGATCGTGCTTGTTTGATCAATAATAAGATTCGTAAAGAAGAAAAAAATATGTTACTTGTCTATATTTAATTGTACTAATGAAGTAATTCAAAAAATATCGTCGTCCTGAAAGTATGAATTTATTTTCCTGAAAGTATAAATGTATTTATCATGCATAGCACGTGACAGCTGTAAATAGTTGGCCCGTACTTTTCTTAAGTGTTTTTTCTAGTCCTTCGGGATCATTGATTCTACACATGAAGTGTTTAAGATTGAGTACCGCTTTAGCTCGTGCTAGGGTGCCTGGGGGATGTTGTACCTTTTCATTATCCCTAATGAACAAACTCATTTAAACCGAGTCTGCAATTTTCATTTCATTGATGTTTTCATTTCACCCTAGGCATTTCTCATTTTCATGGTTTTTGTTTAAAATATTCAGCTATTTGGTATATAAAACTAATAAATAAAAGCGGATTGCAGTAAATGTTATTTTCTCGAGATTTATGCTTGTATCAGAAATAGATGTAAATTACTTTGTTATATTTTCTCCTTTCCTTTCAAAACATCAAGAAGACGTAGACCATTGAATTTATTTAAACATTTGATGATATTTTTTTCTAAATAAAGTTTAATTCATTCACAATTGTTTTTTTTTAAGTATTGCAATATTAAAAATTTTAAATGTTGGAAAGCAAAATATGCAACTCTAATAAATAAAACTTTTGTCAAATTTGTGTTTATACATAAGATATATCTATAATTCTGTTAGTAAATTCTGCAGGTATTGGCATGATTAATTTAATTCATTTGATTGGTTATTTGTCCCCCGCCTTTTCGAAGAAAAAAAGGGGGATATAGAAATAGGCTCCGTCTGTCCGCACTCACAGGACAGTTATTATGTGGCTAGAGGGACAATAGGTAACTGTTCTTTCTCTTTGATGTCATTTAGTCCATAATGCTTTTATGTGGCTATTTTCTTTTGTGTGGCTAAAGAGAACAATAGAGTAGCCACATTATTACTCTCCTAGGTAACTGTTCTTTCTCTTTGATGTTATTAATTCCGTAATGCTTTTTTGTGGCTATTTTCTTTTGTGTGGCTAAAAAGAACAAAAGAGAGAACAATAGAGTAGCCACATAATTACTGTCCTGTGAGTGCGTCCGTACGTCACACTTTGCGTCCGGTCCATAACTTTGTCATTTATCAAAGGAATTTGAAATAACTTGGCACAAATGTTTGTTATAATAAGACTGTTATAATAAGACAATGTGTTATCGCACAACCAGACCCCTACCTCCAGGGTCAAGGTCGCACTTGCTCATTCAATGTCAACATTGTCTATTTGAGGGTATATGTCGTGTCATTCAAGGTCAACATTGTCTATTTGAGGGTATATGTTGTGAGGTCCATAACTTTCTTATCTTTGAAGGGATTTTGTAAATACTTGCCCCAATTGTTTACAATAATGAGACGATGTGTCATGCGCATCGACCGGTCACCTACCTCCAAGGTCAAGGTCACACTTGGAGGTCAAAGATAAACATAGTCTGTTATAGGGTACATTCTGTGTCCGGTCCATAACTTTTTCATAGATCAAAGGATTTTGAAAATAGTCACTATAGTAAGACGATGTGTCATGTGCAACACCTGCCTCCTTACCTCAAAGGTCAAGGTGACACTTAAAGGTAAAAAATAAACATAGTCTGTTAAAGGGTATATTTTGTGTCCGATCTTCATAGTTCAAGAGATTTTGAAATAACTTGGCACAAATAGTCACAATAATAAAACGATATGTCATGCACAACACCTACACCCCTACCTGTAAGGTCAATGTCACACTTAGAGGTCAAAGGTTAACAGAATCTGTTATATGGTATATTTTGTATCTCGTCCATAACTTCTTCATAGATCAAGGGATTTTTAAAATACTTGGCGCAAATAGTCACAATGATAAGATGATATGTCATGCACAACACCTATGTCCCTACCTCCAATGTCAAGGTCACACTTAGAGGTCAAATATTTACATAGTCTGTTATAGGGTATATTTTGTGTCCAGTCCATAACCTTTTCATACATCAAGGATTTAAGCTTAAAATACTTTGAACAAATAATTACAATAATGAGATGATATGCCAGGCGCAAAACATGGGTCCCTACCTCCAAGGGAAAACTTGGAGGTCAAAGATTAACATAACCTGTTATAGGGTATATTTTGTGTCCGATCTATAACTTCTTCATAGTTCAAGGGATTTTGAAAATACTTGGCATTAATAGTTATAATTATAAGACGATATGTCATGCACAACACCTGCACCCCTACCTCCAAGGTCAAGGTCACACCTAGAGGCCAAAGGTTAACATGATAGAATTTTAAATTCCGTGTTTCATTTTACTAGTATTTCTTTAATAAATTTATTGTTGCATTTGCAGATCTAGCATTGATCATAATTTTGGACTGAAAGTCCTGAAATCCATACCTCAATCTTTTGAAATAGTACAATTTTATGCTTCATAAGGCGGGGGACGTTGGTAACTCTGTTACAAATTCTTGTTTACATATGCTTTTGTAACACCAAATATGAATGGGATATGCACCATATTGTGTGAATCTTTGAACCAATGTTTATAATGATCATCACAAATGATAACATAATATATGAGCCGTGTCACAACAAAACCAACATAGTGCGTTTGCGACCAGCATGGATTCAGACCAGCCTGCGCATCCGCGCAGTCTGATCAGGATCCATGCTGTTCGCTGTCAGTTTCTCCACTTGTAATAGAGTTGGTAAGGTGTGAAAAGATGAATTAGACCTGTTTAAGGTCATTCCGTTGGGTAAAAAGGCAAGATTTTAGCATTTTATCATTCAAGCGCCTTGTCCGATATATACCGGAATACGGTATTTAGTGTGGTGCTCCAATCCTTTTTGGCTTGCAGCTGTGGCTGCATCTGTTTTGGAAAACTTGTTCCGGTTAGGTGGTTTTCTGCTTACATTTGTAAGTGCATGATTGAACGGGAAACCAGCTGCAATCGTGCCAATCGCAACTTTTCGGCCTTTTCCGTCACTCTTCGGATTAATAATAATAATAGCCGATGTAGTTCCGATTGCAATCGTGACAATTCGGGCGATTCCGTCATACTGCGGAATCAGACGAAGTAATATTACGGAAATCTAAGCTATTTTAGTTACTTCGGTAATCCCAGTTTGTTTATATAAATAGGATTTCTATTTTT